GGATGAAAATATGCATTTTTGACCTCTTTCCCGCCTACGTCAAAGTGGGTGTAAATCAAAAAATACTTAGTAGACATGAGTTGCTTTTGAAGGACCAAAATTGTGTCCTTTACATCATTTAAGAACCAATTTAATCCTAGGAAGTGAAAAAAATCGTTGAAAGTGCAAAACTTTGAAGTGGTGAACTCGGCAATATGCGCTGTTTTTACTCTTTGTCACTGCAAAAATTTGGCCGCCGAGTGCTGAAGTGATTTTCCTCCCGAAAAATTTTATTTTGAAATATTTTCAAAAACTAATGCGGTTTCAGTTACTTTTGGACTAAGATATATTTATGGGCAAAGTTTAAAGGAAATTGAATTGCAATGGACCGGTTTTAGGAAGACTCACTCTTAAAACTGCGCTTGTTGCACAAACGAGAAGCCTTGAGAATCCTACGAACAAACCCCTCTGAAGACTAAGTATTTCAGATTTCAAATGCGCTTGATGGACAGAGGCTAGCCACACAATTTTGAAAGAAAAATTGCTATTAGAAGTAAAACTCACAGAAAGAAAGGCAGCTCTCCTGAAACAAAACAACAAGGAAGAAAAAGATATATTGCCTTTCGTGACACAATTTATTTTTATTTATTTTATTTTATTTGCCACACAATAATTACAAAAAATATAAGAAAAGAAGAAAAAAAGAAGTGGCGAGGACACCTAACAGAAACTATAGGAGCTTATGAGAGGTTAGGCCTCCTCGAACTATGAGCTAGAGCTGTTTCACATCAACTGAAGAAAAGAAGGCGAAAAGTCGAAGATGGAAAGACTTATGAACTGTTTTCATACTTACTCAATAATTTAATCTTCAGTTTTTTCTTAAAAGAGGAGAGAGATTGAGAGTTGATGACCTTGTTGTCAAGTGAATTAAAAAACTTAGGCCCTTGAAAAAAGGGCGAGAACTTCTTCGTGTTTGTACGACAATACGGTAGACAGTAGGCCTGGGAATTTCTTGTATTGTAAGAGTGGAATTGATTGCTTTGAGAGAAATTGTTATTAAACTTTGGAGGTAAGAACGAATTTTTGCAAGAATACATAAATTGGCCCAGTTAAAGCAAATGGATATCATTAAATTTTAGTATACCGAGGTCCTTAAAGATGGGTTCAGTATGAGCATTGAAATGTGATTTATTAATAATTCTAATAAGCTTTAGCAGGATAACAAGGCGGCGGAGAGTGGTTTTATAGGTCGAAGCCCAAACGATATTGCAAAAGTAAAAATAAGGATAAATTAAGGAATAGTAGAGCATACGTAAAGACGATTTAGGAAGAAAGAAGCTGCATCTAGATATTATACCGATTGACTTCGCAACTTTACTTGCAGCGTGTGATATTTCCGACTTCCAATTTAGGTTTTCATCCACAATTACGCCTAGAA